TCTTCACTTCTCTCTCTGCTCAAAATACCTTCCCAGGACTATTCATTGCTTCCAATGCCTTTCATGGACTCCTTCAAGTAGGACAGAGGATTCCTTCCTTTATGCTCATTCTGTGCCCCAACTACAGGAATTATAACTCTTTCTAGCTCCTATTTTTCACAGCCAAGGAGCAAAGGAACTTTTGTTGTTTGTCTAGAAAAAGAGATTCAAGGGGTCCTAAAAACTATCCGTAGATGACTGGAGGGCAACTTGTATAGGAGGGGTTAGACAGCTCGGGTTCTGTGTGGCTCTAAATGGTGGAGCTGGGTGACATCACAAGGAGGTGGATTTTGGTGCCCTAGAAGAGAGAAGTTGTCTTAGGTCCATCTTGTGAGGTAGTGAGTGCCCGGACTGGGGTTCAAACCTTGGCTGAATTATGGTGCCAGGAGTACAGTAAACAGGATGTCTGTAGTGGGTGGGAGGTTGGACTGGGTGAATTTCAAGTTCCTTTCACATCTGTGCAGAGGTGATAGGGTACAGTGGTTAGGACTGCCAGGTGTGAATCCTAGCTTGACCCGTACTAAGTCTGTGACCTTGAGCAAGTCAACTGATATTTCCAAGTCCAAGTTTCCTTAGCTTTTGAGGAAAGTTAATGATACCTACCCTTTAGGGTTATGATGAGGGTTAAATGCAATGACACCTGTGTGAAACACAGCTCAGTAACAGGTCACTGCTCACTAAATGTTAGTTGCTATGTTTGTCCCTGCCTTTATCTGTGCACTGCACTGCACGCGGTTTCTCGCCTCTATTCCTTGGTTCTAATGCTCCTCAGGCTTGAGCACCCCCTCCCCATCACCTACCTAATTCTAGGCATCCTTTCAGACCTAGTGCAGGTGGCATCACCCTCAGTGTTCTTCTCCCTGCCCTGCAAACCCTCGCAGTGGCATCATACACCACTGGCTGAGGGCACGGCTGCTGTCACCCTCAGCCCTGCCAGCACAGAGCTCACCCACGGCAGACGCTCCACGCGTTTTACTGGAGCTCCAGTTTCTAGTCTGGGTTCCATATCTGAACCAGGACTAGACAAATCAGGCATCCACTAACATTCTCATAAACACAATGGTCTTAAACTCTGATGGTCTCGTGGCGAGTCCATTCTCTTGGACAAAGCGTCTCCTTTTTGATCTATTTCTAGATTAGACTTTTGAAAAATCAATGAAAATTTTCCAAAATGGAAAATCATCACTGCCCCATGGGCTGCCCCAATGCTCTGTCCTCTGGCTTCCGCAGAGGAGCTCAAGGGCCTTTATCATTCCCCATCGTTTAGGTTGGTGTCGGGCTTTCTTACCCAAGTGCCAAAGTTCACCGAACATCTAAAGTTTACCAGGAGCCACCGCACGACCTCAGAACTCTCTCTGTAGCTCTCAAACGTTTGTTCAAACGTGATGCTTCGTGGGGGCTGGAATATCATGAGGCTCTTTGGCACTAAATTTCAAGCCTGTTTGCATTTTGTCAAAGCAACTCAGCATTTTGGTTTAAGATGTAAATGATGTTAATCTGACCCAAAAGTCTGCACGAGAGAAAGATGGGTTGGAAGTTGGGAGGAGGGCAGAATATTGAGGCCAAATCTGTATAAATATTACTACACAGCCCAGAATGGGCAGCTACCTCTATTTATCATCCTAATTATTCCACCAAGTGGTGGGAAAGTCCATTTATTGTATCTGCCAACCGTCTAGGGTAAACAGACAAGCAGCAATACTGGGTGTGCGTGCGTGCGTGCGTGTGTGTGTGCGTGTGTGTGTGTGTGTGTGTGTGTGTGTGTGTGTGTTTGGGGGCCTGGGGGCATTTACTGACTTCAATTACCTCTCCTTTCCAATAAATGAGAAAATGTCTAAAATGATTAATGCTTTCCTTAACAGTTCTTCACTGTATTTTTATTTACGAGGATACTTCAGAAAAACTGAGAGAGCCATTACTATGATAATTAAGAGTTTGCCCTCTGAACCCAGAGGAAATTGTTTCTATTTTATGTTAATGTGAGATTTCTTAGAGTTTGGTTTCCTCACCAAACTCGCCAGAATTAGAATCACCCAGGCTACATATATAGTGGCTCCCAGGCTCCACCCAAAACCTCCTGCTATATTTGAGTGCGGGTCTCAGGAGTGGGCATTTCTAGTAAGCCACAGGCATAGTGGAGTCTGAGATCCCCTGCTGTTCTGCCATGGGTCTATGAGGTTGGTGATCATCAGGAAAAATGGGGTTATTTGAATATTCTTACAGAGTACATAGCACTGGGGTTATGAATCATATAAAAAATGGAAGAGTTCCTGTTCTTAAGATGCAGGGAATAAAACAAGGGCCCAAGATGAACCTTTATTGAATCAGCATGCCCTTCTCATCAGCCGTATGGCCCTGGGCAAGGCAGGCAGCTACCATATTTATAAAAGGGAGATTATCGTATATCAGCTGCTGAAGATGGGGATTGGGCCAGATGATGTTCTGAGGTCCTTTTACCACTAACATCCAGTATTTTATTTTGCAGCTTAATTACAAGAGTGACTTAAAGGTGCAAAGGGGCTGAGAAGTGAGGCGAGTCTGCACAGAGTTCTTGTTCAGGAAATGCTCGCTTTTTAAACCGAGAAAGCCTCCTCTTGGGGCGTCTCGGGGCTGAATCACAAAAACTTCCAGCATTCTGGGTTTCCCGGGAGTGGAAAGATTTATGGGGACTCGAGGACAGGAGTCCTGGGCCAGGATACCACCTTGAAACTCATTGCATTTAAAACATCAGTGTCTCATGCAAAATGCAGAGCAAGACCCCTCTCTCCAACAAAATCTAAATCCCTGCTTTGAAGAAAACAGCTAAGCCTGCCCTCCCCTTGTCTCTTCTTGAAGAACTCATACTCATCCCTCAAAACTTAGAATATAGGTGGTCTCTGGTGCCTAAATGTCACAGAAAGCTTTCCTCTGGCCACGATAGGGACTCTGTCCTTTTTCCTCCCCAGCATTCCTTATAACACCATTAATGCAAACAGGTACTTGCAACAGCTGAGTTCACAATAGCCAGCTCCTAAGAGCAGGGACTGTGTCTTTTTTCACTTTGAATCTGCAGTGCCTAGGACATTGCCGGCACCACAGTTTTCTACTGAACGAAATGAGTTCCCAGAGCACAAGGATTAATTAGCTGGTTTAGTTTCTCCTGCAGAGTCTGCACTGTCCTGTCTCGAACCTCTTTTGAACCCTGCTGTGAATCACTGCAGGAAGGCTCTAGCAGAGCTCTGGTACATAAATCAGTTTGCCTACAAAGGAAATATAGGTAGGGTCTGGACGACTGGCATTCATAAATCCTGCATGTTGGTGGCTTCTGCCAGAAATGCATTTCACCTAGCACACATGCTTGGAGTTCCTTTGGAGCTAATTTACATATTCAACAGTTTGGGTATCACTGCATCTACGTGATGAAAACACAAACAGAATTCACTGGGGACCACGAAGTGAGTGGCCAGCACTCTTCTAGGCTGCTCGGAGGTCATCAAAAGGTCTCTCGAGGGAGCTGTGATCTCTGGGGCCTTCCTCTGATGACCTCATTCTCCAAAGTGCAACACAAAACTTTCTACAAGGGAAGAGGGCAGGGGCCCTGCCTGTCCTCAATTACCTAAAGGATGTTTTATAAATGGCTTCTCTTCTGGCCACAGTACCTTTAGGCCAAGTTTTCACTGGCTAGAAAAACTCCAGGTGCAATTTTCTTCGAAGAGGGCAGTGAATTTATGGTGCCACATGTCAGAGAGAGAAAAAGAGGGAGAGAGCAAGGTTTCTTGCTGACCACTGTGGTCATGCGACTCTGTGCAGCTATGGCCTCTGACCAGGGAAGGTCAAGGTTCAGAGACTCTAGTTACGTCGACAAATACAAACCATTCCATCTCTGCCGCTCTGAGGGCTGAATCCACCCCTTGACTGTGCTCCAGAAAATCTGGCCCCTGTTTTTCACTGAAGCAAATCCAGCTGCCTTTCCCCTCTGTGATAGCTTCTGAACCTGTTTCCCTGCCTCTGGCCCGGCCCTGTCTAACCCATTCACCTCTGCAGCCAGCAGGCTCTTCATGAAATACAGACCTGATTCTGACACTTCTCCCCCCTCAAATGAGCCAATGGCTCCCACTGCTTTGAGATAATTTCTAGAACTTCACTCTGGCTAATGGCTCTTCTGTGATCACTGGGCCGACTCACAAGTCTCCTTTGTCATCACTGGAAATCTCTTTCAATCCCCTCATTGTAGGTTGCTGTCTTGCCCCTAAGCCTCATACAAACAGCCCCTCCACTGGAATGCTGTCCCTCCCCTACCTGTTATCACACGTCTAATTCCTACTTTTTTTTTTTTTTAACATTGAAATATAGTTGATTTACAGTGACGTGTTAGCTTCAGGTGTACAGCAAAGTTATTCAGTTCTATATATATATATATATTCTTTTTCAGATTCTTTTCCATTATAGGTTATTACAAGATATTGAATATAGCGCCCTGTGCTGTACAGTAGGTGCTTATTGTTTATTTTACATATAGTACTGTTATCTGTTAATCCCATACTCCTAATTTATACCCTCCACCTTGCCCCTTTGATAACCATAAGTTTGTTTTCTATGACTGAGAGTCAATTTCTGTTTTGTAAATAAGTTCGTTCATATAATTTGTGTTTGGATTCCACATGTAGGTGATATCATACGATACTTAGTGCAGCCACCATGGAGAACAGTATGGAGGTTCCTTAAAAAACTAAAAATAGAGTTACCGTATGATCCAGCAATCCCACTCCTGGCCGTATATCCAGAAAAGACAAAAACTCTAATCTGAAAAGACACACCCACCCCAATGTTCACTGCAGCACTATTTACAATGTGCAAGACATGGCGGTCAGTAAATATTTTGTCCAATGAGTGAATGAACGAATGCATGCATGCCAGGATGGTAATCCAGGCCACCTCTGAAAGCTCAGGACTGGGGAGGGCACTCTCCGAACCGCACTCACCGTTACAGGTGCAGCGCACGTTCCTGTAGAAACGCGGGCACACGAAGCTGATGCGAGCTGTGCTGTAGGTCATGAGCGCGTGGGAATCCAGCGACAAGCCTTGCTCGCAGTGCTGCTCCTGGCAATCCAGCCCGGAGCAGTTCTTCTCCAGGATGGCTGAGATGCGCATGACGTTCTCCAGATGTCTCCTGGCGTTGGACAGCTTCTGGATCAGGTAGGCCGGCTTGTAGAACTCACTGTTGGGCGTCTCCACCGCGAACAGCATGTCCAGCTCATGGGTGCCCGCCACGGGCTGGATGCTGATGATATGCAGGCTGTCCTGCTTCTGGGTGAGGACCGCGTTCCGCAGGGTGCGCCGGAACCCGTGCATGTGCAGCCCCACAAAGTCCTCGGGGGATACGTTCTCGAAGCGGATGGTGACGGTGTTCTGCAGCATCTCGTGCACCAGCTGCTCCACATGCACGACCACGTCGATGGGCACCTGGAAACGGCCATCACTCACTGACACGTTCAGGATGTACTTCCCGCTGTCCAGGCCTCCTAGGGCGATGATTTTCCCATCATGACTGTTCACCTTGAACAAGCTTTTCTGCTCCGATTTCAGGGCAAACGTGAGGACATCATACACATCTTGATCTGTGGCATGGATCTTCCCAATGACCCCACCAGGAAAGTCGTCCTCCATAGTGACAATGAAAATTTCCAGGGGGATGGCTGTGGGCTTGTGGATGCTTTCCTCAATGACCCGCACGCGGATGTAGGAGTGAGAAACTTGCTGAGGTTTGCCTGAGTCTTTTGCCTAAAACAACCAAGAGGGAGAAAGCCAAGGAAGTAAGAAAAAAAACATAATAATTAAAAAAAGATCAACAAAACTCTGAAGATGTCTGTTCCTTTAACCATGTTTGCTTCTTCCTCCATCCCCTGCCACTATTCTGCAAAATGTTGAGGATGTGCATTTAAGTAAGAGGAGTGATTTATCACCTGGGGTCCCCATATGTACACTCTGTTATGGACAATAAAATGTGTCAACACAGTAAAGCCATGGGGGTGAACTGGGAGGGAGAACAGAGGGTGCTATAGGATCCAGCATGCCCACAACAGGCTGGCCTTGTTTTAATTTTGGACAGAAGCCACAGGGGAACCCCATAAAGTGGCATGCCCACTTGTAGGAGAAATCTTTGTTCTCTTTGGCTTCTTTGCTTTTGATTGGACCAGACAGCATTTTTCTGCACATTTAAGAAAAAATGTTATTTAAAGTGAGAAGTACACAATATCAGGGTTTAGAATAAAGATGCTACACTGAAGGGCAAAATAGGTAGCCTGAAAAAACCCATTTTGACTTCCTTCTTTACATAAGAATTGACAGAACCACTACCCTGAAACAGATCATTACTGAGAACCTGCCATGTGCAATGTGAAGGTAGTCAGTGTTGTAGGACTTCTGAGAAGGGCAGATTCTCAGGGGCTGGGTCCCCAGGGTGGGTATCTCGAGATGTGGGGCTGCAAAGGACCTTGCAGGCCAGGTACCATCTGAGGAGATGTGTCCTTGTTTGTAGAAGGCAGTAGAAAAGCACAGGCTTGCTCATCACAGAGACCTGAGTTTGAATCTTGGCTCTGCCTCTATGTGTCTGGCCTGGAGTAAGTCACTTAACTTCTTCGAGCTTCAATTTCTGTATCTTTAATTTGAATCAAATAGTCATATCTACCTCACAGGATTCTTGTACTGCGGGGATTAACAGACAGAGTGATTGCAACGTACTTAGCACAGGCTTGACTCATAGAAGTACTTAGTATGTGACAGTTAATGTAATGTTGTCATTTTTATTATTACCATCACCATATGCTTTTAAAAATGAATTATATGAACCGGAGATGCTGAAATGGAAAATTCATGTAAGAAGAGATAAATTTAGCAAATTAGGTTGAACTTGAAGTGAAACTGTGTATGGCCTCAAAAGACAGTGATGGGGCTTCCCTGGTGGCGCAGTGGTTGAGAGTCTGCCTGCCGATGCAGGGGACGCGGGTTCGTGCCCCGGTCCGGGAGGATCCCACATGCTGCGGCTGGGCCCGTGAGCCATGGCCGCTGAGCCTGTGCGTCTGGAGCCTGTGCTCCGCAACGGGAGAGGCCACAACAGTGAGAGACCCACGTACCACAAAAAAAAAAAAAGACAGTGATGAGTTTGGACTCTATAGGCCAGAGGTTGCCCACTCAGATGTTGAAAACCAGAAGGGTGACAGAAAGGCATGAAGCCACTGGGTGTAAGGTGGCAGACTCATGGGCTTGCGGCCTGAGAAGGACTGCACAGTCATGCCTGCCTAAAGTCTGAAAGAGTCAGAATTCACAAGTTTTCAGGCACTAGGGAGCTCAGACGGATTTAGTTTAGGGGTTGGCACACTTTTTCTGTAAAGGGCTAGATAAGAAATAGTTTAGGCTTTGGGGTTATATGATCTCTATCAACTACTCAACTATCATTCCAGCAGAGAAGAAGCCCAGAGCATATGTAAATGAATCGGTGAGGCTGTGTTCTAATAAAACTTTATTTATAAAAACAGGCCGAGGACAGGATGTGGTTCAGGGGCTATTATAGTCTGTTGACCTCTGGTTTAGTGGAATGACATAATCAAAGTGGACTGATATAATCAAAGTGGAATGATTAGCCTGGAGGGGTGTAGGGATAGATCAGAAAAGAATGAGGCTGAAGCCAGAGGAACACCCGGGAGGCTTCTGCAATAGTATGAGTATCGGGCGATATAGAATAAAGTGGGGTGATGGCAAAGGGAACATATCTGATGCACATGGGGACCTTATGAAGGCAGAAACGTGCGACTTGGTGGTAGTTTAATATAAGGGACTAGTAGGAGGAAGCTCTCCATGGTGTTTACAAAGCCTGAGTTGTGAAATATGCTCTCTAACAACCAGAGAAGGTTTGCAAAGAACTGTACTAGCTTCTGTGAGAAGGCACTAAAACTCTCTCCTTGCCCTTGAGGACCTATACTGTGATATAAAATCATTCACATAATATTGTTGGACGTGTGGGTGGCAACTGAAGAGTTTATCAATGTGCTTGGATCCAAAAGTCATTAATTTGGAAGGTTTCGTGGAGTAGAGTAAGCCATAATTTATCCAGAGAAATAAGGTACACAATGAAATGCTACATAAAGAATGGCTATTGTTATTATTGCCACCATTAATAATGAGTTTAGGTTGCCCTCTGTGCCAACTGTGGGTAAAAAAAGTCACTCAGTTTCACTGATGGGACCCACATCTTGGTACTGGCAAAATTTGCACCCAGTGAATTTTTGGTGCTCTCTCTTTCCTGCTCCTATCCACACCCTTCCCATAACTGCCACTTTTGCCTCTTTGTCTCACTTCATTTTACACCATGACCTTGAAGAAGCTGAAATGTTGGGAGGCCATTGCCATCTGAATCCCTGTTCCCCTCCCATCTCACTGGGGAAACTTACCAAGTTGAGGTCTCTTCAAAAGCAGAGGCCATGAAATAGCTCAATCACATTAGGACAAGGATTGGTTCCTTCCCCACTTGGGTTGACCTGGGAAATACTTCTCAGTACCAAGCAGCAAGGCTTGACAAATGAGTTGTCTTTGGGGCTCGACTAGAACCCCAGGAATTTTCAGAATGCAGATTTAAGCCCAGTGACCGTCAGCCCGGCACACCCTACGGGAACGTCCCACTTCAACAATGATGCTTCCTTTCCTTCCTGTTCAACTTCACATACAGAAGCCACTTTTACTGGTGTGAAATTGAATTTGAAATTAAAATGAGTAATGATTTATGTTGACTTGCTTGACAAAGAAAACCCAACCAACAGGCCCAGCAACCAGCACGAGAGAAAGCTGGCCTGATGCGGCCAGAGGATGAGGCTGTACCTGGACACACAGCACATACTCTGGAGACTCCATGTGCTGGAAGACCACGGCTGAGCGCAGGATCCCATCCGAGTCCAACACGAACGCCTCCTCTTCGTTTCCCGACAAAATAGAGAAGGAGAAGGGAGGCCCATTGTGAAAGGAGTCTCTGTCTGTCACCACGAGCTGCAAAATGCTGGTGCCTACTGGCTTATTTTCCTGCATAAGAGAGTATATTAAAAGGGAAGATAAAATTACACCTCTCTTCACATTTAAAAAGAAAACCCATCATTACCAGCTGAGAGTGCTGTGCTAGAAACAGGGCTTTTTACGGAAGGGATTCCCTGTGATGTTATCTTGTCTTCTGAAAATGTGCTGGCCTATGTGAGCGTCATGTTTCCCATCCTTCGCTGCCACTCCACAGCTGCCCTGTGAGACAGTGAGCTGCAGGTGAAAACATGAGGACTTGGCTTTGAATGGGTTTGCAGGTTCCAAGGATGCTGCTGGTTATACCTTGTCCTTGAAAGGCTGGAATTGCCCTGAGTTCACCCGAACGGCTCCAGAGATACACGGTGCTCATCAGCCTTCATGACGATGTCAGAAATCCTCTCGGGCCCAGAAAACATCAACCTTTCAGGATGGGAAAGCACTTCGTCACACTTACCACAGCACAGTTATGTGGACGCCCAACATGGTGACACAAAGTCACAATACCGGACTCTTTAGGGGGACATCCTGGCAACTTCCCAGGAAAAATACAAAGGCGGGTGTCAGGTGAAAAACAGGGCTTTTCACCCCAGCCATCAGAACACAGTTTTGCTATTTCTTAAGGGAAGGGAAAGGGGATGGGATGGATATTCCTCAGTTAGCGAATGAAGAGAAAAGGAATCTGTAAGTTTCGGAAGTCCGGATGTCATTATGCCAACAGGATTTTGCAGAAACTCTGCCTTCTACCCCAGATGGAAACACAAAGGCTCCTAGTTACTCCTTCTTGGGCCCAAGGTTGTCCTTACTTTGAAAACACCAAATTGAACTCCTCGGTGGCCCAGGCACTGGTTTCCTTGCTCTGCTCTGTTTAGACTTCAGCATTCCCACAGCTCGGGCCTGAAGTCATTTTCATTCGTTCAGGCCTTCTGATGACATTGACTTTGGATTAACTGAGTTTGGGTCCCAGAGATGGAGACAATGATACCCTGCATGACAGCAGTCACGGGCGGGGTGGGCGCACTCATGTGTTAGGGGCTGAATTAGTCTTATGAGAACCATGTGTTGGAAAAAGAAAATTATTCTGGGGTGAACAATGGGAGGAGCATTTTTTTTGCAGGAGAAAAGAACCTCAGATACTTCTCATGTTGCTTCTCCTCTCAAGTGGCCTTTTGGTTATCAGGAACTAGACACCGTCTCCCTCTGGGATAAGTTGTGGAAACGTCCCAGCCCAGCGTAGATTTATTAGTGCAAGCTGACAGTATCCTCAGTACCACACAACACAGAAGATTTACTGATTTGTTTGCTCTCTCTATAAAAGCCATTTCCTCCATACAAGAGAGAGGGTAAGAGGATGTGTGCCTGAGGGGTCACATCCGAGGAAGGAGGGTGAAAGAGAACACAGACGGGCCCAGTGTTGCAGACAAGAAGCCACGGTCCCCGCTCGTGGGCTCAGAGTCTCTGTTCTCTCCCTGCTGACTTCCTGGAGCGCGTGTGAGAACAGTCTGTCAAGCTGATCGACGCGTGTCATAAAACTGACCTTGAGTAGCCAGAGCCCATTTGGCGCTGGGCTAGTGAGCGGAGGCAGGGGAGGGGGGGCAGAGAGCAGCATCGTGGGGACAGGTGGGGAGCAGAGCCATGGAGGGAAGCGGCAGTAGGGGAAGGGGCAGAGCCTGGGGGGGAGCTCTGTGGAAGCTGGAGAGGGGCAGGAATGCACAGCTGCTGGAATGAGCATCAGAGAGGAGAGGAAACCAAAATACCGCTGGGGAAGGAATCGGGTTTCGCTGAGAAAGGGGTAGGAAGGGAGCAGAGAGCTGCTCAGCCTGATTCTGGGGGGGCTCAGTGGTGTGGGGAGCTGGGGGCCTATAGATGGCCAGACTCAAAGTCTTGAATGTTGTTCCAAAGGCGCCCCTCAAGATGGGCAGGTGATTCTGAGGCTGATTTCCTAAAGTATCCATGGTCCCCACAAGACACATATATCCATCCCTGTCTCCTGGAAGTCCTCCATGCTGACAGTATTCCTGGACTGGATTTCCTGATCCTCTTGAAGTTGGACTTTCAGCTTCTAGAAATACTGGGAAATGGACGTAGCTTGGCGCTTAGTACCGTGCTCACGAGATATCTTTTGAATTAAAAAAAAAAAAATAGCTGGGAAGAAAAGTCGTTCTCTCTGAGAGCAGAACACCAGCAGTAAGTCACTCTCTCCTGCAGTCTAATTTTAGAGAGCAAGTGGGTTTAAACTGCTAAACAAACTGCTTATGGAAGACTGATTTTTTTTTTTTTTTTTTTTTTGCGGTACGCGGGCCTCTCACTGTTGAGGCCTCTCCCGTTGCAGAGCAATAGGCTCTGGACGCGCAGGCTCAGCAGCCATGGCTCACGGGCCCAGCCACTCCGCGGCATGTGGGATCTTCCCGGACCGGGGCACGAACCCATGTCCTCTGCATGGGCAGGCGGACTCTCAACGACTGCGCCACCAGGGAAGCCCTGGAAGACTGATTTTAATGAGGAGCAGCTCTAGCCTGATGGCCAGTCTCCCTTTGACAAACAAGATGGTTCGTATCAACCTCCCTCCCCTGCTAGAATAGCACAAAGTGGCTTAAAGGCAGCCTGTCCCTGTGGGAAGAGAATAGTCTTTTCAGAAGACAGACCCAAGTTCAAATGCTGACTCTATCACCTAACAGCTTCATGATCTTGGTTGAGCTACTTAACCTCTCAGATCCTTACCTCCTTCACTATGAAGTGAGGGTGGTCGTGAAGACAGACCGTGTACGGAAAGCACCTGACACTTGAAAGAACCCCATTGGCCACAGCACTGATCGACGTTTTATGAATCAGCTGCAGCAGAAGAATCAGGCTCTTTTCATACTAGCCCTATGATGGGATGAGTTGATATTAGGTAAAAACAAGAGTAAACCATGATGAGTAACTAACAGCGGAGGAAGGAGGATGAGTGCATAAGGACAAGAGCCTGGGAGGCCAGATGTGCTCACCTGAATCACAGCGGTATAGTTAGCAGGTGTAAATACTGGGCTGTTGTCGTTTACGTCAGAAATATCAATGTTGACAGTGGCAGTTGAAGACATCGCAGGAATGCCGCTGTCTACTGCCTGGATGAGCAGGGAGTATCCAGACACCTGCCAAAGCACAAAGGGCCGACAGTGAAGGATCGCAGCGCTTGCTTCCTTCTGGGCTCGCTCAGGCGCTGCAGGCTCGCAGCGCTTTGCGGAAGATGAGCCATCTTCACGTTGAGTCTTTAGACCGGGGTTTTTCAACCTCGGCACCAACTGGCCTTTGGGGCCAGATAATTCTTAGTTGTCGGGGGGCGGACCTGTGCGTTGCAGGGTGTTTAGCAGCGTCCCTGGTCTCTACTCACTAGAAGTCAATATTGCCTCTGCCTGCTTGTCACAACCAAAAATGTCTCCAAATAGTGCCAGATGTCCCCTGGGGGTAAAATCAGCCCAGGTTAGAACCACAGCTCTTGGCCGTTGTTCAAACTATAACAGTTGTCACAACCGATCTGTCCTAAGTATGACTTTTCATACTTTGGGAGTATATTACGGGCTTCTATTATCCAGTGAAGTCTTTCTACGTTTAAGCGTCACGCCTATGGCATCTTTTTCCATATTTAAATTTCACTTTGAAGACATATTTTTGGTCCAAAAAGGCAGTGTTTAGAAACTTAGTTTAACCTCGGGCAGAGGAATCTGCTGGACCATTCTTTCTGACCTAGATACCTTCAGCTTATCCTTTTGTATCTGCTCACTTAGGGTCCATGCTGTTCATGAAACCAGGACCACAGGATCCCGACGCTGAATATACTTTTCTGCTTTCTTGCTTTGGAAGGACCAAAATTCAAACCATCTAGAAAGCCAGGTTTTTGCTTTTTCTTTAAAGCCTCCAAAAATAAGAAAATACCAGTATCTACTGGCAACAAATTCTTTCTAAGGTCTAATGAAAATACTGCCTGCTGCATTTTAGTCCATCCCTATTTACTCCCATTATTCAATGTGTGTTTTTTTGTTGTCGTTGTTCGTTTGTTCCTTTTTTTTTTTGGCTGCAACTCGAGGCTGATGGGATCTTAGTTCACCGATCAGGGATCAAACCCAGGCTACGGCAGTGAAAACGCAGAGTCCTAACTACTGAACCACCAGGGAATTCCCACTCGCGTTATTTAGAATGGAGAACCTTCCCACTTATACTCATGGAGTCTGGCCTGATTTCAGTGAAGGGGTGGGTGTGGATGGGAAGGGAGCAGGCCTCAACTAGCTTACCCGTTCCCGGTCCAATTTCTTTTTAACCTTCACAAGTCCCAAGACAGGATCCACAGCAAATTCACTGTCTCGATCTCCATTCACAATGGAAAATCGAATCTGTCCATTGGGCTGGCTGTCTGCATCTTCTGCTATTAGCTTCACGGGACACAAGCAAAACAAAGCAAAGACATGACACGACAGACAGAGAAAAGGTTTATTCTTAGGGTCCCAGGTCTGTACAAATGGGCACAACTCTGAGAGTTTTCTTAGGCGTTCTACTCACCAATGCCAGGGGAAGAGATTTGGGGTTGGCCGAAGGAGGAAAGCACCATTACTAGAGCTGCCGTTTTATTTATGTTCATTTTTATCTGCCTACAGCCTGATGCTTGTTAGGCCTGATTTTCCTCAGGCCTTGAGCCAGTAAGGATAGACCCAACACTAACTGATAGGGATACTTCGGGGATTCTTTCCCAATTCGGCAAAACAATGGTCTCTGCCACCGAGTCAGGTATTTTCTAAAGGTATGCATTCCCATGTTAAGGAAGTCCAAGAAAATTCCCTTTCCCACATGGCAAACACACAGCCCCACTGTCTGCTGCTCCACATTGGTGATGATGGGATTTATATGTATGGAAATAGTCTTGTAATCGTTTCAGGCCCCAGGAGAAATGGCCTGGGAAGTCTACCTTGGATGTGTAAAGAATGAACACCTGGTGCTGTAGGAGCCAGATGTGAGGGTGGGTGGAAGGGACCTCTCCCACCTAGGGGTAATGAGGGTGCTGAGGATGGGACTGACTCACTGTTCCCAAATGTAATTTCTATGTCTAAGAGAACCTGTGTCCTCCTAATACATAGCTTGCTCTTATTGGTATAGAAAAAATTCCTTCCAGAAAGAGCTCCTTTAAGAGTAACCAGTCAGTCTTAAGCTTGATCCCATTTGTAGCTGCCCTTCTGTATGTGTGTGTGTGTGTGTGCGTGTGTGTGTGTATGTGTGTATTTGCGGGGGGTGGGAAGGATTTTTTTATTCTGTCCTTAGCCATCTACTAACTTGTCATCCAAGGTCACAAGCTAGTAGGAGCTATCATTAGAAATTCATTCTATGGTCTGTTTTGTTTCTCAAAAAAATACACTCCTGGGAGGAACGTGATGAGTGATCACTTACACCTTGATATAAATGAACTTTATCAGACCCTTTCTAACAGAATGTGGAGAAGGAGTAGTCGAAAGGCTGGTGTCTGACTAAAGTTCTTGGGGACCAAAGAACGCTGAAAAGAGGAAGTGCGAAGAGAATCCAAGATAGACTCTGCTCCCTTTTTCACTCTCCTGAGGATTATTAGTCCCAGGTGTCTGGACCACGCCCCTGGCACCTACCGAAATGACAGAGTCCCCGACTGAGGCGTCTTCACTTATGACGGCACTGTAGACATCTTGGCTGAATTCGGGAGGGTTGTCATTCACATCTGTGAGGTTGATGTTGACAGTGGCCATGGCACTGAGGGCGGGGGTGCCCCCGTCTTTCGCTTCCACCACCAGGTAAAACTTTCTGCATAGTTCAAAGTCCAGGACCTCAGACACAGAGATACTCCCTTTGAAGGAAAATGGGGAGCTTTAGACTTGATTAGGAAAAACTCTGGTCCGCAGTCCCACAATCATGGTAATATTTGTAACATCATTTCCAGCCAAGAGTTTGAGATATTCAGGAATTGGTTTACTTAATACCCAGCTCAAAGCAACCCGGAGTCTGATTAACGCTGTCAGTTAAAACATTGCTATCCATCAGACACAATGCTGAAGAAATCAGGTCTTTGCATGTTTCCGCAATAGCTTCTGAACTTCCCTCGGGCAGCCTGAAAATCTCTGGCATTATTCACTCTCAGGCAATTTGGGAGGAGGGACCGGAGCAAGCATCCCCTATGAGCACCTCCCCAGGATTCCTCAGGTGGACCCAGGCAGACTGAGAATGTGCCAAGATGCGTGGACGTGATTGCATGACCCCGTCCCTCATCAGTAAGTATATACTTGCAGACTTAACCTACTCTTAAACTGAATTAACCACTAAGGTGCCTCCCCTACTTATAAGCCGCTTTTCTGAAACTTTTATGGCACAAAGAGGACAAAGACCTCAGAAAGTTCAGGATGTAGTGATGTGACGGAAAAGGAAACACTTGGGAATCTGTTACCGAATAGCAAGCGTGAGTTTAGTGTCTACAACTACAGAGCAGAGCTAATACCCATGGCACAGAGTTCTTAAATTAAGCAAGGAGAACAGGTGAAAGCAGCTAGGTGGGGGCACCTCCGCGAGGGGCTCCTTGAGTGTTCTTTCCCTCCCATCCTAGCCCTTTCTGGTGGGCGACCCAGTCCTGCCTCCTGCACTTGGTAGCTGGTCATTGTACCGTCTGCAGAGCAGTTCTCGAGGGCATTTACCTCTCTCTCCCACCTGGAAAACAGTCCCTAGGACCGAGGTGAGTACATCACATCTGTTCTCTTTCCAGACAGGCAGCTTCTCAGGGAGCTAAGCCTGCCCTTCTACTTAAGGTGAGAAATAGAAGTCGTACCTAAAGCGAGAGCCTCTTTCTCTCCATAATTATGTTTTCTTAGCAATTACCACCCCTAGCGCTTTATTTCGCATCCCAGCCTCGTTATCCAGAGCCAGATTTAAACAGTACTCAACCATTTCCCCATGGTATTCATATACAATGGCCATAACTAGACACGCTAAGGCTAACACACATTTAAATGAGGAAAATCCCCATACATTTTAATTTGAAGTAATGCACTTAATAAACAGGGTTATTAAGTGGGAGAAGCTGCTGCTGCAATCCTTCCATTAACGTTTCCACCCTCCTATACTAAGGCAGGGACTACGTGTCCTGCAATTTTTGCACCCCCATGGCATAGCAGTGCTATATAGAGGTTAGAGCATGTATTCCAGAGTCAGGGAGATCTGACTTCAAATCCTGGATCCCTGCACCACCCACAACTTACTCACATTGGAAAAATTAACCTCTCTGAAGCCAATTTGCTCATACAGAAAATGGGAGAAATAACTAACAACTTAATAGGAATCTGGTGTATCTGTCACGTTACACGAACATTGCTAATTGCGATAGTTTCTTGCTCATATGTCTTGGATTATCCAACAGAAAACAGACCTCCTTTGCCCTCTTGCTCAACAAGTACGTATTCCTTGAGTGATGACGGAATTATGTCCAGTGGCCAGAAGGTATGAGGGACTCACCTTTCTCATCTGTGAAATGGGCTGCCTTGCTTATTCATAGGGGGATAGGTAAACAAATAAGAATATCCACAAAAGAGCTTTGAAAATATTAATATAAACACTCTTTGAAAACGCAAGGGTGGGTATGTTTACTTTTCAAAGAATTGCCAAACTTTTTTCTGAATTATCCTCTTCACTTACTCAAAACAGCCCTACTAGTTATTACTCCCCGAGGAAGAGAAAGCCCTAGGGTTCTCTTTGTTCTCTTGGTTTCTTTCTAGACATCTCTTCCCCAGGAGATGCCACACCCTCCCGCAGAGTTTGAAAAGGGCGTGGTGAGAAATGGCAGTGTTCTGACTATGGGAGCAGTGAGTAGGAATCAAATACAATGCCCATTCCAGCCGGCCGGGTGCTGGGTTTAGAAGGCCTGAAGGTCACCATGCAGATCACTCATTAACATCTGCCTTGGTAGGTGACCAGAGAGTGGCCACCTGAGCGTGGACAGTGGCAACTGGAGGCTAATCCCCAGGAGCTGTTCCAACATAGAAATATAGGACCCAAGTAACAAAAACAAGCAAACAGAAAAGAGAGAGAAACAAACAGACCCTGAGGCTCCATCTGCAAATACTATCTCCCCATCTTGAACCACATGACTGTTCCCAAGCTTGTCAATCTGAAAAATCCTGGAGCCAACCTAGGGGCCAAGTATTTGCCCAGTGAGCCCACAGCAAGGAGCTGAAACTTAGCAGGGGGCATCGTTGGAACAGAGTGTCAGAGGGCACTCTGGGGTCGGCATGCAGGTCCTGCTCTGAGAAGACTTGTTTCCACCGAGAAGGGCGGTTGATTAGAGGGTTAGGAGGAGAACCAGGGTATAGTGAAGGCTTAGATTCTAAGTTGGTTGCTGCTTACCCACCTGTCTTTGGGTTGATCCTAAATTTCCCTTGCTCGTTTCCAGACCGGATGAGGTACGTAATCTCGGCATTTGTGCCTATATCTTTGCTGGTGGCAAAAACAACAAGGACTTGGGTGCCAGGGGAGGTGTCCTCAGGCACCGTCACCAGGTAGTCCCTCCTCTCAAACACGGGGGGGTTGTCGTTAATGTCCAGGACGGTGATGGTGACAGTGGCCAGAGAGGACAGGGCCTGGCCGGGGCTCTGGTCGGTGGCCTGCACGCTGATGCTGTAGGAGGACTGTTGTTCTCGGTCCAGCGGCTGCTCCAGGATGATGATGCCAGACGAGCTGTCGATGGAGAAGAACCCATCGGCTGAGTCGGCCAGGGAGTACACGACCTTCCTGTTGGTGCCTGTGGGAGACGCGAGAGCGTGAGCGGAGAGGGACGCAGGCGGACGCTCTCTGCACTAGAAGACTGTGGCTTTGATGACTGTCTAACGGCCACACAAAGAAAAACGGTAACTATGGAAACCAATGGCTTTGGTCCTACGACGACTTCAGTTTATAACAAATATACAACTGAACCAAATGGTAAAGAAACGGAAAATATTGGTAAGAAATATCAGAAATAGTTGGATCTAAAGCAAAACGTTTTGCATGCATGTGTCACGTTGTTATGAGTCCTTCCTTCAATGTTTTCAAATAACTGACCAACTGTCTTGATCATGTTAGAGAAACTGACTTCAGTTCTTCTGGCTCGTGTGGCTTGGACAAGTTACAGTCTTTCTTACCTGCCTAGGCCACAAGGAAGATGAAAAACGCTTTGAAAACAGCGACGAACATATAACCTATTATTATTCAAGCCCTCAAGCAATTTCTTCATATCTTTATAACCTCCATCTGAAACTGTTATCCTGAGGATCGCTATGCGTCTCCTAATAAACAATCCAGCAACTTAATAAAAAAAGAAATAGTTGGATCTTCTCAATATATTAAAGAACACCATGCATCCTTAAGAAAAACTCTAAGATGCCAATAGGTATAAGCGTCAGGATGTGCCACAGAAAGAGAAAGACAAATTAATTAATTAACTCGACACATTTTTATCTAGACTCTATCAGGCACTATTCCAAAGACTAGAGATTCTCATAATGGACAAGAGACAAACATTTCCTGAGGGAAATTTTTACTTCCTGGTGAGAGTAAATAAGAAATGAACAAGAACAAAGAATCAGTAAAATACATGGTATGTTTGGGAATAAAAAGGGAGAAGAATGAAGCCATAATGGGGGGGAATCGTGAGTGCTGGGGGCAGAGGGAGTTTGGGAGCTGGGGAGAAGGGTGGTCCTTTTAATACAGGTGGTTGGAAGTTTGGCATTTGAGTGAAGACCCGAAGGAGGGAGGGAGGGAGTGAGCAGTGCAGAAATCTGAGGAAGAACGCCGTTGGTGGTAGTTGGGAAGCGCTGGAGGGCTCTGAGGAGGGGAGTCACACGGTATGAATTAGATATTAACAGGATGGCTCAGGCAGCTGGTTATGAACAGAACAGCAAGACAGGAAGCAGAGACCCACTGGCAGTCTCCTGCAGGAAGACAGGTGTGCAATAAGGGCATCTGGAATGGACGGTGGTGTTGGAAGGGGTGAGACGTGGTCGGGTTCCAGATGTACTCTGAACACGTGGGTGTGATAAGTGAGGGGCCCTAAATGTATTCTGAACTTGGAGGTGGTGAGAATAGATGGCTTTCTCACCGTGGAGCTGGCAGGATGTGGGATGTGAACGAAAGAGAAGATCCCAGAATGACTCTTAGGTTTGGGCCCGAGCGACTGAAAAGAGGGAGTTACCATCAGTTGCCATGGAGAGGACTGATTGCGGGAAGATGATAGGATTTGGACGAAGATCACGGGCCCTGTTTAGCATCGATTAAGTGTGAGATGGACATTTTATATGTAAGTGGAGATTCAAGTAGGAAGTTAGCAGAGGAGGCTGGAGATCAGAGGAGGGGTCCAAACTGGAGTTACATTTTTGAGGGTCTTCAGCATTCAGAGAGCCAGCAGAGCCATAAGAATGGATGCGGTCATGGGCTTCCCTGGTGGCGCAGTGGTTGAGAGTCCGCCTGCCGATGCAGGGGACACGGGTTCGTGCCCGGGTCCGGGAGGATCCCACATGCCGCGGAGCGGCTGGGCCCGTGAGCCATGGCCGCTGAGCCTGCGTGTCTGGAGCCTGTGCTCCGCAACGGGAGAGGCCACAACACTGAGAGGCCCGCGTACCGCAAAAAAAAAAAAAAAAAAAAAAAAAAAAGAATGGATGCGGTCGTAAGGGAATATAAAGGGAAAAAAGAAATACAGTGACCAGTAAGCCTAGAGCACCCCATCAAAGGAGGGAGAGGATCTAGTCAGAGGGTGGTCTCCAGTTCCATGGCTTAAAGAAACGCACGTAGTTATCAACATACCATTTTACCTTAATATATACTAAAGCTAAAACCTACCAACCAGGAAATGTTCATTAACAACCAACGAATCAATGAATGATGATTGGACCAACTTCCGATTCTGAAGATTGACTTAACTGTTTTCATCCGAGGAGCTCAGCACTTCAAAATGGTTTATAAACCTCAAATTCACTAGGAGTTACAGTTTATAAGAAAGAAAACATAACAACTTCATAGGCCGAAAAAGCATCATGTTGAGCCTAAACGCTCTTAATGAAGACAGTCATCAGTCATGACTTTAGCTATGACAACTACCTGAAAATGTCTTTTGCGAATCAGGGACCCCTAGAATATAAGCTCTTACAGGGAGGGCCTACGCACTGTCATTTTCTACTACACCATCTCACCATGGGGACAGGCCTTTGGCAGTAATAAGAGTTAAACATTTTACTCCCTCAATGTACAGTTTCCCTTAAGCCAAAATTCCAAGCAAACCAATAAAACCATGGAGGGAATGACAGAAATTGCATTATGTGGCTTTAACCAGAAGGTCAACATTGAGAGTTCGTTCATGGTTCCATTCCAGAGAGTCCATTTTTTCCAAAGTTTCATCATTTACTTCTATTTCTCTTTCAAAACAACCACCCCGTGATATATAAACATCAACCTCTGATTTTATTGGTGCTGGGATGAAAAACAAGAAGTCTTTGCTCTTTCCTTGCTGTCCCTTGAAATAAGGCCCCAAAGCAGGTGTTTTAGGGATGCTTTCTGGCTACTTTCACAGCTGGCTGCAAGATTAAACTTTTCAACATAAATTCCTGGGGTGAATACACAGAGGATCGCGGAGGTGATCAAGCTTGCACCTGAAAAACAATAACCCTGCCTGGGTGTCGGAGCTGACTGTGTGCCCTGGAAGCCGCCGTGACTGACGGGATAGTGTCAGGACACCTCTCAAAGACACAAAAATGCATTTATGGAAACACATCAGTGATTGACGTAAATACACCACATGGGTTTTCAAATCACACACGTTCCCTGGGGATTTGACTGGCAGCCCCAGCATATGGAAGAGCACTCTCACCAACAATAAGATGGGGCAGGAAGTTCATGCAGGATCTTTCCTCTGAACATCTGCTGACAACACCCACTTCACTGACGCAGGGATTTCCCTGGGGCCACTAGCATATGTAGGTAAGCAGGATCGACAAAGTCCTATTTTCAGATGTGCTCCTGGATAAGCTTCCTCTTCGGGCTTGAAGATCACGTAGGAGGAAGGCCATTTCTGACCCCGTTCTGAGAGCCATGGTGCTCCAACCCGCTGAGTTAGGAGAGGTAGGGGCTGGGTTTGCACACTGCCTCTCTCTGTGGCAGCAAGGCCCGAAGGGAAGGTGCTTTTCATGACCGCCTGTGTTTCCTTCACTGGGACAGATAGCTGAAATCTAATTAAAAATACTGCCTGTGTTCCCAGTCTGCAGATTTCTCTCCCAGCCCTATTCAGAGGCCCTCGGCTCTGCTCGGACCTCCAAGCAGGAGAGGCCGTGTTTTCAGAGCTTCCAGCTCAGCCAGCTAGCCCTGTTGTTGGAACCCTGCATTTACAAGGCTGACATTGACCAGCCACACAAAGACCACGGCTCCCCTCTGGGTAGGTTCTGTTCCTTTAAAGCTTAGGGACAGGGAGTTTCTGCTTTATCACAGCAGAAGACCATCCCCAACAAGTTGCGGACCCAAACTCCCCCCACTCCCCGTATATTTTGCTTCTGACAGTATCTTGTGCATTCACACCAGGAGGAACAGGGAGATTTACGGTTTACCTCTCCTTTCTGTTACCAGTCAGACTTATATGAAAGTAAGACTAGAAAAGGTTGGGGCAGGGTGGGCACCCAAACCAACAAACCTGCTAAGTGGTATCTCTTGTGATTTGGTAGTTCTGAAGAAAAGAGCAGGATATATTTTTGGAATGTATCTAAACTCCAATTTAGACACAATTGCAACAGATTTCAGTGGTTTCTAGAAATCAAGTCAGATGCATAAATGTCAACGTGCAGGCAATACTTCTGTTGGAGCACTCGGGTCTTTTGCTATATTACCAGGCAATGGGGGCTCTTTGTTAAATGAATGCAGGTCCCGTCACTAAAGTGGAAACTTTCTATCCAAGGGCGTTTGATAAATGCCATTCTTCAAATCACCAGCTTTTCGCTACGTACCGGGCAGAAAAGATGAACCCGAGCAGAAGACTTGCTTGCTAATTGGTCTAATGCTCTCACTGCATGTCATGACGTGTTATATTAAGGTATAACATTAATCCATCATTTCGTGTCTGTGTTTTTAAGTACGTAATTCTCTTCTCCAATTTGCACTTAATTTAATGAGGACGGAGCTACTCAGCTTCTTAAGATGCTGAAATGCCAGACTACCAAGAGAAGTATGATTTTCATCGCATGTGAAGTTTCTGCGCGTTAACTGTGGCACATGGAGCGGGCAGGCCTTCAGAGGATTAAAATCAAGTAAACAGAGAATGCTTAAAATCCCGATTTGCTCAAAGGAAGTAACAGGTAGTGGCATTTTGTGGAGTGGGGTGAGAGGAAAGAAATAGCATGTACAAATTCCCAGAGAGAAGGCTATGAAATCCTGGGGCGGGTGGGTTGCCAGGGGAATCTATATTCCCTCCCTTGGAAGATTTCTAAATGGAGGCTAGGTTCCTCTCAACTGGGCCAAATGAAAAGAGGGACTGTTTGGGGAGCATGGACTGTACAGAAAAGTCAAAGTTTTAAATGCTTAGGAATGAAGGCAGTGTGGTGCAGTCTTGGAAGACAGGAGATCTTGCTTGTAGCCCATGGGTTTCCCAAGTATACTCATGTAGCTTAACCTCGTTGGTGTCTTCATTTTTAAAATGATAGAACCTAGTCCATTGAAGTGTAAGATGATCTTCCAGCACTGTGATTCATTTGCAAGTTAATTAATGGAGTTGGTTTCATTTTTATTTTC